TTTTTTTGAGATGGAGTCTTCTTGTGTCGCCCAGGCTGGAGTGCAGTGGCGTGATCTCGGTTCACTGCAACCTCCGCCTCCCGGGTTCAAGCGATTCTTGCGTCTTAGCCTCCCGAGTAGCTGGGATTACAGGCACGTGCCACCACACCCAGCTTATTTTTTTTTTTTGAGACGGAGTCTTGATCTGTCACCCAGGCTGGAGTGCAGTGGCACAATCTCGGCTCACTGCAAGCTCTGCCTCCCAGGTTTATGCCATTCTCCTCCCTCAGCCTCCCGAGTAGCTGGGACTACAGGCACCCGCCACCACGCCTGGCTAATTTTTTTTCTATTTTTAGTAGAAACGGGGTTTCACCAGGTTGGCCAGGATGGTCTCGAACTCCTGAACTCGTGATCTGCCTGCCTCAGCCTCCCAAAGTGCTGGGATTACAGGCATGAGCCACCACACCCAGCCAACTACCCAGATACCTAATCCTCAGAAGTAGTGTGAGATAATGTTTGTTGTTTTAGGCTGCTAACTTTAGAGTAGTTTGTTATGCAGAAATAAATTATCAGTACACTTTGGTATTAACACTTTTTACTGAAGTGTTGTCTTAGTCCATTTGGGCTGCTATACCAAAATACCTGAGACTAGATAATTTACAAACAATCAACGTTTATTGCTCACAATTCTGGATGCTGGGAAGTCCAAGATCAAGGCATCAGCAGCTTTGGTGTATAGTGAGGGCCCATCCTCATCGATGGCATCTTCTATGTGTCCTCAAATGGTAGAAGAGGCAAACAGATTTAGGCTATCTCAAGTCCTTTTATAAGGGCAGTAACTCCAATTTTTTTTTTTTTTTTTTTTTTTGAGACAGGTTCTCTCTGTCACCCAGGCTGGAATGCAGTGGCATGATCCTGGCTCACTGCAACCTCTGCCTCCTGGGTTCAAGCATTTATCCTGCCTCTGGCTCCTTAGTAGCTGGGACTACAGACGTGCACCACCACGCCAGGCTAATTTTTGTATTTTTAGTAGGGACGGGGTTTCACCATGTTGGTCAGCCTGGTCTCGAACTCCTGACTTCAGGTGATCCACCCGCCTTGCCCTCCCAAAGTGCTGGGATTACAGGTGTGAGCCACCCTGCCCAGCCTTTTTTGTTTGTTTGTTTTGTTGTTTTTGAGAGAGAGTCTTGCTCTGTCTCCCAGGCTGGAGTGCAATGGCACAATCTCAGCTCACTGCAACCTCTGCCTCCTGAGTTTCACCATGTTGGCCAGGCTGGTCTCGAATTCCTGACCTCAAGTGATCCACTGGCCTTGGCCTCCCAAAGTACTGGGATTACAGGGGTGAGCCACATGCCCAACCCACTAATCCCATTTACGAGGGTGGAGCCTTCATGATCTAGTCATTTCCTAAAGGGCGAGATTTGGGTGAGGGCACAACCAAACCATATCACAGGTGCAGTGGCTCATGCCCATAATCCCAGCTTCTCAGGAACCTGCGATGGGAAGATTGTTTGAAGTCAAGAATTTCAGACAAGCCTCGGCAACAAAGCAAGACCTTGTCTCTAAAAGATACTTTTAAAATTAGCTGGGCTGGGTGCGGTGGCTCATACCTGTAATCCCAGCACTTTGGGAGGCCGAGGCAGGTGGATCACCTGAGGTCAGGAGTTCGAGACCAGCCTGACCAACATGATAAAACCATGTCTCTACTAAAAATACAAAAAGTTAACTGGGCATGGTGGTGTGAGCCTGTAGTCCCAGTTATTTGGGAGACTGAGGCAGGAGAATCGCTTGAACCCAGGAGGTGGAGGTTGCAGTGAGCTGAGATCACGCCACTGCCCTCCAGCCTGGGAGACAGAGCGAGACTCCATTTCAAAAAAAAAAAAAAAAAGTGAGACATTTGCAAGTGAAGGGATAGAGTGTGTGTGTGTGTGTGTAGAGCAGAGATGGGGGAGGGCAGCACAACTGAGCAGTGGAAAGGACAAGCTGTTTGGGGTTTGCTGTTGCTGTAACAACAGGCCAGGGTCAAATCTCAGAATACTTCTTTTTTTTTTTTTTTTGAGATGGAGTCTTGCTCTGCTGCCCAGACTGGAGTGCCGTGGCATGAACTCGGCTCACTGCAACCTCTGCCTCCCAGGTTCAAGTGATTCTCCCACCTCAGCCTCCTGAGCAGCTGGGACTACAGGCACACGCCACCACACCCGGCTCATTTTTCTATTTTTAGTAGAGATGGGGTTTCACCATGTTGGCCAGGCTAGTCTCAAACTCCTGACCTTGTGATCCACCCTCCTCGGCCTCCCAAAGTGATGAGATTACAGGTGTGAGCCACCGCGCTGGCCCAAAATACCAACTTTTAAGGGAGCAGACAGAGGAAGAGAAGTCCAAGCTGACTTTAGTTGGAAACTAAAAGCAAAACATGGTGATAATATTGTCCTTCCATGATGGAATTATTCTTAGAATCACCGCCCTTGATCATTATACTTTTGAAGATCATTTAAATTTACTGTTTTGCAATATTCCCTTGACTAGAAAATTAAATTCTACCTAGCACTATTATCAACCAAACTCAACTCATATCTGCCCTCTGAAGTCCTGCAGACAAACCTTTGAAGTTGGAAGCCAGCTGATATGAACCAATTCAGCTGTCTTCTTGGATTAGAGGTTCCCAGTTCCTCCAACAGTTTGTCTTATGATGATTTTCAGCCTTCATTTCTAGCAGTCATCTCCTGGACATACTACAGTTTGCCCACAAGCATAGCAAGCCATCCTCTGGAATTATTAGAATATTTGTGCACAGGACACTAGAATTATCACATTTCTTGTTTTGGAGACTACGCTTTTATTAATGCAGCCTAAAATTAAGTTTACAAGCAGCAACATTAAACTATTAGCTGTTTGAATACATAGCTAAAATGTACTGCCTCCTCCCCCAACATAAACATGTAGCCAACTCTTCTCCCCGCAACCTGTACTTTCCTTTTTTTTTTTTTTTCTGAGACAGAGTCTCACTCTGTCGCCCAGGCTGGAGGGCTGTGGCCGGATCTCAGCTCACTGCAACCTCCGCCTCCCGGGTTTACGCCATTCTCCTGCCTCAGCCTCCTGAGTAGCTGGGACTACAGACGCCTGTCACCTCGCCCGGCTAGTTTTTTGTATTTTTAGTAGAGACGGGGTTTCACCGTGTTAGCCAGGATGGTCTCGATCTCCTGACCTCGTGATCTGCCCGTCTCGGCCTCCCAAAGTGCTGGGATTACAGGCTTGAGCCACCGCGCCCGGCCCCCAACCTGTACTTTTCCAATTGATTTTTGTTTAGCTTAATTGTAGGTTTCACATTTCTGCTTTTTTCTTTTACTCATATGAAAACCTTTGGCCTTTTCATCATGGGGCATAAAACGGCCAAGACACCTGATAATAGAAAAAAAAATCATAGACAAACATGTAGCAACCATCAGACCATGGTGAATGTAAAGAATAGACCCTCATGAGGCCCGGCGCCGTGGTTTACACCTGTAATCCCAGCACTTTGGGAGGCCGAGGTGGGTGAATCACCTGAGGTCAGGAGTTCGAGACCAGCCTGGCCAACATATTGAAACCCTGCCTCTACTAAAAATACAAAAAATAGCCAGGCATCGTGGCACGCACCTGTAATCCCAGCTACTTGGCTGGCTGAGGCAGAATTTTTTGAACCTGGGAGGCGGAGGTTGCAGTGAGCCAAGATTGCGCGCCATTGTACTCTAGCCTGGCCACAGAACAAGACTCCATCTCAAAACACAAACAAACAAAAAAGAATAGACCTTCATCAGACTCCAGGCCTCTGGAGAATATTCTGATCCAGCTACAAGCTTCTGGTTCTATTGTCAATGTCCAATCTTAGTAAGAAAATGGATTGGCCGGGCACGGTGGCTCAAGCCTGTAATCCCAGCACTTTGGGAGGCCGAGGCGGGCGGATCACAAGGTCAGGAGATCGAGACCACAGTGAAACCCCGTCTCTACTAAAAATACAAAAAATTAGCCGGGCGCGGTGGCGGGCACCTGTAGTCCTAGCTACTCAGGAGGCTGAGGCAGGAGAATGGAGTGAACCCAGGAGGCGGAGCTTGCAGTGAGCCGAGATCGCGCCACTGCACTCCAGCCTGGGCAACAGCGTGAGACTCCGTCTCAAAAAAAAAAAAAAAAAAAAAAAAAAAAGAAAATGGATTAAAGATAGGACATGTGGCAGCCATTGTCTGATTGGTTAATTCTTTTTCTTGAATTGCTTGCTTATTGATTAGAACTGTTTTCCCATTCCCCTCTGAAATCTCTAAATGATGGAAAAGTTCGAGTTCCTTCAATGACACAGGACAGGGGCTCAGTCAAACCCTGGAATGATTCTCAAATGTGAAGCAAACAGAAAAATTCTTACACACTTAGGAAAGACATGGCATAAAAGTCAACCTCAGAAAGACAGGTAACATTACCATATGGTACCTCCAGCAGAAAGACAGGTAGCATTGCCATATGGTACCTCCAGCTGAAGGCGGAGGACATGAACTCATAAAGGAGGCCATCTGCTCAGTTCTGTGCAGAGGAAGGCTTGCCATGTCCACTCTGTTAAGCCAAGGTTATCAGATTGGTTCTCTATAGTTCCCACATCCTTGTGCATCTTCCTACCTGTGCCCTATTAATGGACAGGCGCTGTTTGATGCATTTGCTGAAGCCAAAACTGCTTGGGTTTGAGTTCTGGCTCCACAATTTACTGGTACCTGTGGCCTTCAGGAAACAACCTGTCTATAAAATGAAGTTAATAATAGTACATATCTGAGCTGTGAGCAAAAATCTTAATACCTATAAATTACTCAGAGCAGAGCCAAGCACATACAATGGACTCAGTAACTGTTAAGATACTATTTCTTCAGTGTTCCTTGGCTCCAACTCATTTCTAACACAGTTTGTAAAGGTCCTCTATTGCTTGTTTGGCTTCCCCAGCGTAGACAAATCTGGGCTGAGTTGTTAGCACGTAGATGGGTGAAGACTTCTTAAGAAAACAGTGCTAAGGTTGTAGGCCACATGGTAAAACATAATTGTTATGGTCCCAAATTTCTACTGATTGGGAAGACAAGGCAACTTCCTCCTGCATACACTTTATTCACACATGCTAAATCTCACTAAACAGATCACACTGTCAGGGAAGATGGCTAAGGAGAAGCTAGGGTTGTCAAGGTAATCCTTGCTTCCGCCGTGTTTTGCAACAAGGTAATAAACAGCCAGAACAGACTAGGGTGAAGCAGGTAAGGGTGAGGAGAGAACGAAGTGCAGTGCAGGGGGTGGAAGGCAGCTCACAGTCAGGGAGGCAGCAGTTCTAGCCAATCAACACTTTATTTTTCAAGTCAACACCTGCACAGATGTTACTGTCCACTTCCTGACCCTAGCAGAGGGTCCCACTACACTTGGATCACCCAGAGGAGCAGTAAGGAAGCTCCTCATCTCAAGACAGAGCGCATGCTCACCAACTCCAGTGCTAGCGCATGTACTGTGGGATCCCTGCTCTCCTGCATCATGAAAGGCCGGGCTGAATGGGGCAAGGATGCAGTGAAGGTTACACAGACTACAGTGACTTAACAGTGTAACTACTGGCCTGACCCACTGCCCCACGTTTACTTTTTACTTCCCAGACCAGGAGCCTCCCTAAAGCTTGGCCAGTGCCCATGGGATAGGAGGAGCTGGCAAAGGATGGGGTTGAGCTGCTAAGGACAGGACACAGCAGGGAAATAAAGCAGAAAGGAACACAAGAGAGAAAAATTATAAAGTGCCTTAACTAAACAACCAAGTGGGACATGAGGGCACAGCAGCACAGGTCCCTGAGGATAGGAGGAAAAAGAAAGGGCCAGACCACCAGGGCTTGGGGCATAGTGGAATGAGAATAGAGATGAGGCAGGGAGGCAAGCACAGGCTGTGGGAAGGACTTCCCTAGCCCTGTTCACATCCACTAACCCAAATGGAAAATTATTTACAAATTTAAAACCAATCCTAGGCACAGGTACTGCACCATGCCCCCAGGACAGCAAGCAGGCAGGCAGGCAGGGTGGAATGGCTACCATCCGACAGCCAGCTTCCCCACGCACTGCCCCTCCCCAGAGTGGTAGGCAAAGGAGGAAACAGCAACACTCCTAGCCAGGAAGCCCTACTGTGCCTGCAGCTCCTTCCCCAGTGGCTCATGGCTCTGCCATGGCCTGAGCTTCTTGGTCTGACTGTACCAGAGAATGGGTGTCAGGCCCCAGGGGTGGAGCATCAGGGGGTTTTGGAGGTGTCTCTGGCTCCAAGCCCAGCTCTGCATTCAGCTGCTCCAGCTCCCCCTGATCCAGCAACTCAAAGTCCTCAGTGGTGAGTGCCTCTTCTTCCTCAGGGGCAGGCAGGGGCTGGGGTGAGTCCTGGGGAATAGGTGGGAGAATGGAAGGGGAGGGGGCCGGGTCACTTCCAGCAAGGCAAAGTGGAGGTGACAGGGTGCTGGGCAGAGCAGTGAGGCCACCACTCACTGTCTCGGGGCTCAGTGTCTCCACTGGTCCTCCAGGGGAGCATTTCACTCCATCTGGGGGGGACCCTGCCCCATTGAAGTGCGTGTTCACAAAGTGGAGGGGGGATGAGAGCCGAAGCAAGGTTTCCTTAGCTGCCACATCTTCTTCCTCTTCCTCTGAGTCCAGGGCTTGCCTTGACAAGGCTTGAGGACGGCCCAGTAGGTCTTCGGGAGGGGCCAGCTCTGCCTCCTCTCCCTCCCCCAGGTCCCGGCTTAGGGTCTCCTCTGGTTCACTTGGCAGGCTCTGCTGGTCCAAATCTGTGCAGAGAACAAAGAATTAAGGATGGGCCTGCTGCTGCTCTGATTAGCCACAACAGCCAATGAGTTTAAGGATGAGAATTCAAGACATGGAAAGCTGGGCCAAGCCCTAGGTGTTAAGGTCTTTTAGGAGCTGAGTAGAATTAGAGTCAGTGGGCCAAAGAGCACAGCAAGTACCCATGGTAGGTAACACAAAGATTGTAGGGGGGTGCAGCAGGGCAACAAAGGGCTACCCGTACCCTCGGAGACATCAGTCAGCTGCGGAGTTGTGGCCCGGGATACGGAGAAGCCACCACTCTCCAAGATAGAAGCCTCCTCATCTGACAGCTCTGAGTCTGTAATGGCCAAGGCCAATGCTGTTTTCTTCACATCCACCTGGCAGGAGAACCAGGATGAACACGACATGTGAGGGGCTAAGAGAACCAATTTATCAGGAGCATCCCCTCTCCCAAAACCTCTGGCTTCCACATCCTTTGGAGGTGGCAGCTCCAAAGCAGAAATATTTTTCCTCTGGCTTTCTGTTTGACACCCCGTCTTCCCTGGACCTCACCACTGGGGAGAAGCCAGCCAGCTCTGCCTCGCTTTCGCTCTCTGTCTCTGCCAGTGGCTCATCACCTCCTGGGGGTGCATTCTTCCCTTGCCGCTCTAGAAAAGCAAGAGTAGTAGAGCAGTGACCAAGCATGAATGATGGGAGGGGAGACAAATACAGTTAAAGAACTGGAGAAGATCTCAATTCCAGGGCATCGCATGAGCCCCAAACCAAGGCCCTCCCGCTCTTTCACCCTCCTGGATTAGGGCAGCCCCTTACTCCTCTTGTCGTGTTTGTGATGCAGGGCATTGGCTTCTGCCTTCATGCTGTAGTCCAGCTGCATGAGCAGGGGCTCCAGGCGAGTGTACATCCTCTGGATCAGCTCATGATAAACCACCAGGGGCCACAGCAGGATACTCAACACTATGGGTTAAGAATGTCAACTAAGAGCTCCCTACATCAATTTCCTAAGAGCCCCCATTCAGCTGGTCCCTAAACTGAAGTGCTGAAGGTAGGCAAGGTCCTTTCCCAAGTCAGTGCCAACCTCTTCTTGCCACATCCACTGCCCTCCTCCCCAGGTTAAGTCTTCCACAGTTACTAATACTAAAGCATCCCTGGAGATCTCCACAAATCAGAAACTGAGCAGAGACCATAGTCTTTCCTCTGGGTCAGTCCAAGGAAAGAAGAAGGAGAGGGCTTTAAATAGGGCAGGGACAGACCCTACTCACAGACAATGTAGGAAATCATAATCCCTGGAACATAGTGTCCCAGCACAGCCAACACAGCACAGCCAGAGCAGACTCGAACACAGAACTGCAGAGAAGAGCACAAGTCTAAGAACAGCACACTGAGATATGCGCCCCGCTCAGCTGGGTAAAAAACTACTGCTCAGCTGGTAGGATAGGTATGTCCTCGAGGAATGGGGTGGTCCAGTTTGCTTAAGAGGATGCTCAAGACCACCAATTCAGGAAGCTGCCAATAGATAGTACCCACCACCTATAATTCACACTCGTCTGCCTTGGCAGGAGAAAAGCGTCAGGCTATCAGAAGCTTATTTCCTGAGGTGAGACTGCCTCCTGCACGAGGGACTAGCTGTGAATGTTGCCTCAAAAAGGCGCCCAGGCCTCTTCTTTCAGGGTCTTCAACCCGGGAATTTACATCGCTCCACTCCCATTCCCCACCACCTCTACACCCCCTCAGTGTAGTGAACTGTTATATGATGTAGGGGAGGTTACCTGAGCTGGATTCTGCCTCTTGTACTGCAGCAGCTCCTGCAGGTGAATCTGGAAGGTGAGCCAGCTCTCAGCCAGGTATCTGCACAACTCGGGCACACTCAGCAGGTGCGGCCGGGCGCCTGACCCCGCACCCTCACTGGGGAGACATGACATAACCCCTAGAGGCCTCAGATACCAGATTCCTAGACACTTAAATCCCTCTGAGAATGCCAATGACATCTTTAATCTAAAAAAGTAAACAACCCCACCTCCCAAAAGGAGGCTGTCCTGGTCTTAGGAAGCAAAGCCAGGAGGACCCAACCCTCTGCCCCAAAAGGAGCAGGCACAAAACCACCTACACAGGTGCCTAGGACCATGAAAAACCCATGGCTTGTTACCAGTTCATTCACAATGCTGGGGCACTGCCCTGCTCCTTGGTGACACCGGCACCGGCAAGCAGGACAGGATGTGGGCATTTGTCTTCAAGAGGTGGCCTGTACTCACCTGTCAGAGTGTGGCTCCTCTGGGGATGATGCTAGAGAGAGCGGAGAGGGACAAATTATTGAGTGGTAGGGGCCCTGGGAGACACTTCCCAAGGCAGAAATCGCTGTCCCTCCTCTGCAGCCCCAGAGCACTTTCTTCAGATACCAATGGGGGAGCTGTTACATGTTTTTGTTTGCCTCTGTCTCCTTCTTTAGACATTAATCTTCTCCAACATGAGAACTACATTTTACTCATGCTTATCTCCCAAGCAACTCACACACAGCCTGTCACCTATTAAGCAAATTATATGGATAACAAGAAAAACAACACTGACGTTCTATTTATACAGCTTACATGTAAAGCACTATCATAAGCATAGGATGTGTATTAACTCATTAATCCTCTTCTCACCTCTCTATAAAATAAAATCTATCATCCGTGTTTTACAGATAAGGAAATTGAGGCAAACAGAGATTGAGCTACTTTTACAAGGTCACAGACATGGTAGGTGGCAGAGCAGGGAATGGAACCCAGGCAATATGGCTGCAGACTTCACCATTTTAACCACTGCACCTACAGTAGCATTAATTTGGGAAAGGGGCAATTTTCATTTTAGGGAATTCCCTACAAAAAGGAAGTGGGCTATGCCTGGGAGGCAGGTGGCCTGCTGTACGTTCCCCCTCACCATTTAACTCCACCCAGCGGAATCAGGCACCAAGCAAGTGCCCAATGGGTGCTTACCGAATGAAGAAACACTCACCTGACACGTCAGGGAGAAAGCGAGGCTGCCAGAGATCCAGCAGAAAATAGGCCAAAAGTGAGACGCTGAGTAGGAAAAAGGGCCGAAGGGACGAGGAAGACAGCAACCTTAGGGAGAGACAGGCACCTCAGCAGTGAGTGGGTGAGAGAGACTCATGCATCCGTCTCAGAAGGTGGAAAGGCGCCTACTGATGGGGGAATGGCACCTCCAGGCCTGACTCGCGACTCGCGACTCGCGACTCACGACTCACGACTCAGAGACGGAAGAAATCTAAGCGGATGTCAGCCTGCAAAAACTGGGTACGGGTCATGCCCCCCAGGCCAAGTGATAACCCAGAAAGGGGAATGGTGCTCTCGACCCCTCCCTCCCAAGCTCTCCCGCTCATCCCGGCCCCGCCCCCTCCTCCGCGGCCGTTACCAGAAGAGGCCGTTGAGCGCGGCAGCCGTGACCAGGCTGTGCAGCGGCTTCTCCCACACCAGCAACCGCTGCGCCGCCGCCAGCACCGCCTCCCAGCCGCGGAGCCGCAGCCACAGCGTCGTGGCCAGGCGTCCCACCGCCTCGGCCGTGGCCGCCTCCTCCTCTGCCTCGCTGGTGGCCTCACTCATGCCTAGGCTCAGACCCAGACCCAGGCCGAGGCTCAGGCCCATCCCCGGCCCCGCACCCGCGCCGGTGTTACCCCCGCCACCGCCGCTCGCCATAGCCCCGCCGCAGCCGCCGCCCGAGCCCGCGAGGAGCCAGGGCTGCGCGGCCGCCGCCGGGGGCGCGTCAGGCGGAAGGGGGCGCAGCGGAGGACGGCAGAGGCTGCGGACGGGCGTCACGTGACGGCGGAGCGCTGAGCCCGTCACGTGACGCGGCCTAACCGCCCGGATAGGGCGGCCCGCGCGTGCGCGCTGGCAGCTGCCGCTGACTCGTCGGCGGCCGCTGACCCTTCGCATGCACAGGTTCGTTTTCTGGTTGCCGAAGTCACCCGGGGTCCAAGTCCGGTTCCCGGTCTGGGCAGTCGAGCCGTTTTCTTATCCCACAGTGGGCAGGGTGGCTAGGGAGTGTGGTGCTGCCCCGGTATCCACGGTGTGGAGCAGGAAGTGGGCTTCCAGACTCCCAGTATCCCCAGTAGGATCTGCTTCTGCTCGGGAAGGGCGGTGGCCGTCCCATTACTCAACCCTCATCGCACTGGCCCTCCCAGTTCCCTCCCCTCAGTGGGCAAACAAACACACCAGCGCGTGACTCGACAGACTCGAAAACAGCTTCATCTACTCAGAAAAGTTGTTGATTTCCTATCTCCTTAAACGTTCCCACTTCCACATACCGGAGCTCCTTCCCACCTCGGCCTACTCAATCATGAGATCGGAGGCGGGAGATGGGTTTAAAAACAAAACCTTGGGTGGGTGCAGTTTACTTTTGGGTGGACGTGTTGACACGTTTTTGAGGCCTTACATTCGCTTAATATCACAATTTCCGCAGTAGCCTTAAGTTTAAAAGTTCAAATTACACTACAAAAAAAACAAAAAACCCTGAGTTTCTCTTCCTTTTCATAGTTCACCCACTGCTAAATGTCGTGTATCCTTTCAGACGCTTTTCATATGCATTGCTGAGTGTGTATAATCTCTCCTTCTAAAAGGCAACTAGGAACAGCTTCCTGTTGTGGGTTTCGTTTTATTCACATTAACTTCTCCATTGCTACGGAAAGGTCCTACTGGCTTGTTCATCCTCAGTGCGGCGTGCTCCCCTAGGAAGTGTCCCCATTTGCCTAGGGCTCAGCTCTGGGACTTGGTCACGTTCGGTGAGACCAGGAGTTCGAGTCCGGCTCCTGTCCGCGGGTCGGCGCGGGAGGCTGGGCTAGACTGGAGGCAGGAAGTGCCAGGCGCTGACTTGCGGGCGGCACCCCAGCGGCTTGTAGACGCCGGGCGGACGCGGCACAGGCGGAGTACGCGCCTCGCAGCCGGGTCTCTTTTGCTCCGCGAGGTGAGCGCAGCCCGGCTGCTCGACGCCTCGCTTCCCTGGCCTAGGGCCTCGCGCCGCGCCAAGCCCGGGGCGGAACAGGAAGAGGCGCCCGCCAGCCCGGGCCCCGCCTTCCGCTGTCCGGGGAGGGAGCTGCGAGGGCGAGGGCGGCGGCCAGCCCCGGGAGGCAGGCGGGCAGGTGGACAGGCGGGCAAAGACAGCTCCGCGAGCCCCCTACAACTCGTTTCCTTCCGTTCACCTTCGCAGGGCGGCGACTGGCGGTGCGATGGACCTGACCGGGCTCCTGCTGGACGAAGAAGGCACCTTCTCCCTCGCGGGCTTCCAGGACTTCACGGTGAGTGGGCGGCCCGCCCCTTCCCCAGCCTCTCGGCGCGCCCCTCCGGGCCCGAGCGGCGCCGCGAGCTCTCCTGACTGCTGTGCCGGGATTGGGCGGCAGCTGCTCGAGCAGTGCCTCCTCGAGGCCGCGGCCGCTTGGGCCCGGAGGGAGAGTCGCGGAGTATGGGAATGGGGGTAGGGGTGGCCACACGAGGGCCCTTCTCGGAGAACTTCTCCCAGGGAGCCCTCGATGGGGGTGAGGGTATTCCTCCCTCTGTGGACCAGGCTGCCATTGGCAAACGATTGACAGAACGCCGGTCTGGGTAAGGCACGGGACCCCTGGCAAGCGAGGCCGGACTGTCCCCCGCACCGCCTTCCAGCCCAGAGCCAGGAGCTGCATCATACCTTTCCCTGCCCTTCACCCTCCGCTGCCCCTGCCCTGTTTCAGTTCCTCCCAGGACACCAGAAGCTGAGTGCCCGGATCCGAAGGAGGCTCTACTATGGCTGGGACTGGGAAGCCGACTGTAGCCTGGAGGAGCTCTCCAGCCCGGTGGCAGGTTAGGCAGTGTTTTGTGACTGGACAAGTGAGAAGCATGAAAATGGGGTTGTCATCAGCCACTAAAATGACTCGAGGTTTGCCCCGTGGCTGCACTGTCTCTTCATTGCTAGCTTGTTGGTACTTGGTTCAAGAGGGCAGTTTGCATTTCTCATTCTTATTAGCCCAAATGAATAAAAACATTGCTGCCACATATGTCTATATAAATCACTCTTGATTTATGTATTGAAAACTTAATTTTCCAAGGATATCCATCATACGTTTCCCAAATAAACAAGGCATGTTCACAGATGAACAGCAGCGGTAGACAAATCTGGATAGTTTCACGTGACAGAGCAATATGCTTTCCTGTTAGAATGAGCTGAAATTCAAACTTGGAATGGGCTTTTTGTCTCAGTGTGGGAGAATTTGATCTCTATTTTGTTACTATGGTCCTGTCCCCAAGGCCTCAGAAAATACAGATCTGGCTCTTCTGCTAGCAGTGGGGACTGGTGTGTTGTGGATGGGTGCTTGTTTGCTCACTCGGCCTTCCTTCTGTCCCTTGCAGACATTGCTGTGGAACTGCTCCAGAAGGCAGCCCCCAGCCCTATTCGCCGACTCCAGAAGAAATACGTAGCTCATGTGTCCCGGTGAGCCTGGAATTGAGGATAGGATGAGAGTGTTTGGGCCCTAGAGAAAGGGGAATCGTTTTTTCTTTCTTTTCTTTTCTCTCTTTTTGAGATAGTCTCGCTCTGTCACCCAGGCTGGAGTGCAGCGGCACAACCTCGGCTCACCGCAACCTCCACCTCCTGGGTTCCAGTGATTCTTGTGCCACAACCTCCCCAGTAGCTGGGACTACAGGCACATGCCACCGCCCTTGGCTAATTTTTGTATTTTTAGTAGAGATGGGGTTTCACCATGTTGGCCAGGCTGGTGTCGAACTCCTGGCCTCAAATGATCCACCCACCTTGGTTTTCCAAATTGCTGGGATTATAGGCATGAGCCACCGTGCCCAGCCAAGAATAGTTTTTTTTCCCCAAAGATAACAGGAGCAAGCATCATAAGACTTGCAAGAGCTGAAGGACCCTTGGGTTTAATTAGTGATCCTTTCTACCACCCAGGGAGGCATGCATCTCCCCATGTGCTATGATGCTGGCTCTGGTGTACATTGAACGGCTCCGCCACCGAAACCCAGACTACCTGCAGCACGTGTCATCCTCTGACTTGTTCCTGATCTCCATGGTAAGATACCCCCTCCCCGTCTCTCTAGAGAGCCAGGAGCCTGCTGTGAATTCTGCTCCACCACTTCTGGTTCTTCTGCAGATGGTGGCCAGTAAGTACCTCTATGATGAAGGGGAGGAGGAGGAGGTCTTCAATGATGAATGGGGAGCTGCTGGGGGTGTGGCCGTGCCCACTCTCAATGCCTTGGAGAGGGGCTTCCTGAGTGCCATGGTGAGTAGCTCTTCTCTCTCTTGCTCAGTTTCCCTGGCCCGTCTTTAATCATCCTTTAGTCCTTTGTTCTCTCTCAGTCTTCTGTTGGTTTGTCATTTCTCTTTCTGTCCTCTTGTGCTTTTGTGTTATCTTATCTCTTCAGTACTAACCACAGGTTTTGGAGATGTCCTAGAGCAGTGAGACCAGGAGCAGAACATTTCCTCACCTCTATTCCTCCAGGGCCCCACAGGGTACACTCTGAGTCAGAGTTTATCCTATTGGGTTCTGAGTATTTGTGTCCATACTTTCTCTCCCCCTAGATGTTTAGCTCCTTGTGGGCACGGACCATTCTCAGGGTCATTTTCTCCCCTCTTCCTTAGTGGAGGGTATAATGTGAAACCAGGCAGGTGGTGATTCAATGAATTAATGTATAAAACCTTTTGAGACAGTATCTGGCACATGGTAAGTGCCAAATATGCATTAGCCATAGTGGCGGTTGTAGTTCTTGCTATGGCTCTTATTATTAAATGACTGTTGTTCATCCAAGTCTGGTTTGATGTCCTCTCTCCTTACTCACAGGATTGGCATCTCTACACTGACCCTCGGGAGATTTTTGAGGTGCTGAGCTGGTTGGAGAGCTGGTAGGTTCTCGGAGTTGGGAAGAAGGGCTCGAGGGATTTGGGGACTGAGGCCTCAGCCATAGGAGCTAGAGATGAGAGTCTCTGTAACTGGGGGAGGGAGGAGACAAGAAAGAAAATTGCCAAGATAGTGGTTCTCAGACCTGTCTGTCCTCTTCTTCATCACCTTGGGGAAGGTGAGAAGCAGCTTATTTAAAATACATGTCTTGGGTGGGTATCGTAGTTAGGTCTGTAATCCTAGCACTCTGGGAGGGCGAGGCAGGAGGATTGCTTGAGTCCAGGAGTTCAAGACCAGGCTGGGCAATATAGCAAGACGCCTGACCCTACCAGAAAAAAATATTAGCCAGTTGTAGTGGTGTACACCCATAATCCCAGCTACTCAGGAGGCTGAGATGAGAGGATCACTTGAGTCCAGGACGTCAAGTCTGCAGTGAGCTATGATTGCACTACTGCACTCCAGCCTGGAAGACAGCAAGATCCTGTCTTAACAAAGTAAATAAATAAGATATAGGTCTTGGTTTCACCCTTAGTTTCTGATCAGCAGATAGCCTAGGAATCTGGATTTAACAAGCTTCCCAGTGTTTCCTGGTGAGTCCTGAGTGGTATGAGGATGCCACTAGGCTGGCTGTAGGACAGTTGCATACTCTGTCATTCTCCACTTCCCCCAGTGTGGCTGAGCAGCAGGGACAGCGGCGGGGCTGGTATACCTACACAGACCTGTGTGTGCTGCTGGAGCAGCCAACCTGGCAGTTGGCCCTGGCCTCCCTCTGCCAGCGGCTGGTAAAGGTGAGGAGAGGCTCGGAAGGATAGGGAGCTTGAGCAAGCCGGTGTGTAGGGTGGGATGGTGTGAAGTGATTGCTGAAAGGCCCAGGATATGGGGTTGGGAATAGATGGGCAGAGTGGGGTATAAATGGCTATAGAGACCTCCAGCTGGAACACAAGTTTCTAGAGACAAGGGGTGAATGTGTTAAAGACAGAATCCTTCTTTTTTGCCTCCTCTCCTGCAGCTGTCCTGCCTGTTAGCTGTGGCATATGTGAGCAGTGTGGCCCTGGCTGTGGCATCGGTGGCCGTAATACATCAGTCCTTGGGGCTGTCCTGCACCCCTGCACCTGGGCCGCCTGACCTTGGACTGACCTCCCATTGCCTCCTGGAGCCCTGCATACCTTCTGTGCCACAATGCCTGCCGTCTCCCGCTAATGTCTCCAGCTGCCTGAAAGGCAGCACAGGGCTGCGGTCACTCTGGGGCAGTCTTCTGGCCTCACTGACTCCTCCACCATTGCCTCCCCCAGACCCCCCTGCCCCTCCCACTCTTCTTCATAATTGCCACCTTTGCCAGAAGCTCCAGAGAGACTCCCTAACCTGCCATGCCTGCCATCACCCCAACCATACAGTCCCCACTGTCCTATCCAGCCCCTGGTACCATACCTATGGCCTGGCTCCCCACTGGCCTTGGAGCCCGGTGCCCCCGTCACTTCCTCAGCCTCAGCAATGTTCCCTTTTCAGTGTCATGGAGCTGGCTCGCCTCAAGTCTTTCATTTTCCCAGGCTAGGTAGGGCTGCGAGGAATGCATTAAGAGGGTTTGGGAGTTTCCGAGAACCTGGAGGAGCAAAGCTTGATTTAGAACCTGTCTGCCTCTCTGGGTCCTTGGCAGGTCCCCTGTCCTCCTGGGTGGGAGCTTACGGGGTGGTGGGGCAGAAGGACTGAAGGTCACTCCTAGATCTCAGTGGCTGGCTGCTTGGCCAGGACAGTGATGGCGCCAGGGAGAACTTCTGCTTGGTGACCAGGGACATGTCCCAGATGGACACAGGAGAAGCCCCTCTCTGCCTACCTGGGATTTTCTGGGCTTTGACTTTTGAGTTCTCTAGGATGGAAGGGTATATGTGGGAGATAAGGGAAGTGGGGTGAGAGGAGAAAGGATATGTTGGCATGGGCCCGTGTGATGTCCCTGAAGCAGAAGAGCCAGGGACTGATGGGGTCAGGTGGGAGCTGCTGGGTGAGGCAGGGAACCTTTTCACTCCCATTCCTTAGCTTTAGTCTAATGGAGCCAAGGACTGCTGGGACCTTCAACCCTGACCTTTTGTCATCCAGTCTTCTCTTAGTGTCCTGCTCCTAGGTTCCTTTCTCTTCTGGTTCCTCTCCCGGGTGTTCTCTTCCCAGGCCTCTCTGGCCACTGCTTTGTATCAGGGTTTTTCACGCTTTTGTAGAACTGAGGTTTCAATAAACAGTTTCAGTTGCATGGCCTGGACTTTTCCTTCTGCGGCAGCCCTTGAAGATCTTTCCTCCCTGTGTCTGCCATCCAAGCCTCCCTGCTTCCTGATCCTGTCATCTCACAAACTCTTTTCTCAGCCTCATCTTAGGACTTTCCTATCGTTTGATAGGCATAGCCTCCCATTTCCAACTTTGTTCCTGCTCCTAGGACCCTGGGCCCTTAGTACTGCTCAACTTGGGGTGCCATGGGACACACAGGGTGACTGTCCTGTGCCTGAGTTGGCCGTCTGTCACTTTTTCTGGGTGAGCACTCTCCTTGTGGATCCCGAAGCACATCTCGTGGAGAGTGGCCAGGCCTTGTATCCAGCAGAGCCTTGTGAGCTCCTGAAGGCAAGCCACCAGGACACTTCTCTCTCCTGACCTCCTAACTGGTCTGACACATGGTGATGGTCACATGGTGCTTAACAATTCCAAGAACTTGAAGAACTCCAAGGCTGGGTCGTCACTGGAAGAAGGAAAACAATCTGGGCAGCTTGGCTGAGGGTATTTGGGACTGCTGAGGATCCTTCTTGGAGGAGGTGGTTCTGCCCCCTCGGGAGCATTTTGGAAATTTATGGGCCATTTTTTCATTGTCAAAAGGATTCGAGGGAATGCTACTGGCATTTCATCAACCTGGGCGGGACGCTAGACATCCTGAAATGCTCGCTAGACATCCTGAAATGCTCGGACCTCCCTTGCTGTGAAGAATTCCCAAGACAACTTTTGAATGACTAGCTTTATGTATATGAAAACCCTATTTATCTGAGCCTAGAACGATCTTTGCACATGTAAACGTGAAATAGTGTTTGTAGCATTCTGAAAACACTCAGTTTGCTAGGAATTCATTCCCTTGTAAATTAAAATGACTTTGTTTTGCTTGGCACCTTTTAACCAAGAGTTTGTTTGCATTTTGGAAAATCGGGTTACAACATCAGAGTCACCAATAAAGCACCAATATCAGCTGGCATTGCAGCTGTTGCAACCACAGCGATTCTCATAGGGTGTGGGATTGGACTACTTCATTGTACTTTATTGTCTTCTGGTTTAGTTGTGCTTAAGCCTTCACATAATGAAATACATGTTACTATAAATTTTATTATTTACAGTGAGCACGTTTCAGGTAGTTGTGGTTGTCACGTGATGTAGGATATATTATCCACAAGTTTCTTGTTTTCTTTTTTTATTGACACAGTCTCCTTCTGTCACCCAGGCTGGAGTGCAGTGGTGTGGTCTCAGCTCACTGCGACCTCTGCCTTCCGGGTTCAAGCAATTCTCGTGCCTCAGCCTCCCGAGTAGGTGGGATTACAGGCATGTGCCACCACATCCAGCTAAGTTTTGTATTTTTAGTAGAGATGGTTTTACCATGTTGCCAGGCTGGTCTTGAACTCCTGACCTCAAGTGATACACCCAGTGTGGCCTCCCAAAGTGTTAGGATTACAGGCATGAGCCACCACACTCACCCCACAGGTTTCATTTTGAAGTAGTCCAGGGGCCTTGGTACTGCAAGGGGTGAGGACTGTGGATCAAATAGTGATGGTTTTAAATGGGAGGGAATAAAGTCTGCAAAATTTCCCCAGATTATTTTGAAGAGCTCCTCTCCTCCCCACCCCTCCTATCCTACTTTCTACAGCCTGGTCTAGGGACAGGAAATCTGGAAGAAGATTCTTGGAGGAGGGCCCCAGAACTCAGCTTCCCAGTTAATGGCTGATGGAATTTGCACAACAGCTGGGCAAAGGTGAAAAGGCGGTGCCCTGCCCCAAATTCCTTATAACTTTGCTCCGCTTCATTGACACTCCCACCCTCTCCCCACCTTTTCCCCACCCCAGGCTTCACCCAAACTCTGACCTCTTACTTTCTACTTAACTCTGGTCCCGGGCAGCCAAGACAAAGCGAAAGGCAGGGCAGCATGAGCCGATCACCCCTCAATCCTAACCAACTCCAATCAGTGGGCTCCCAGGATGCCCTGGCTCCCCTGCCTCCACCTGTTCCCCAGAATCCCTCCACCCACTCTTGGGACCCTCTGTGTGGATCTCTGCCCTGGGGCCTCAGCTGTCTTCTAGCTCTGCAGGTAGGAGGCAGAGGTGCAGGAGTTGGTGCTGCCTGATGGTGTGTGTGGGGAAGTAGGTGTAGATGTGAAAGCCTCTGGAAGTATTGCAGGTATTTCCACTTCTCTGAAGACTGCCCTCCCCATTCCTCCACCTGCAGCATGTCTTGGTCATGGCTTCTCTGCTCTGTGTCTCCCACCTGCTCCTGCTTTGCAGTCTCTCCCCAGGAGGACTCTCTTACTCCCCTTCTCAGCTCCTGGCCTCCAGCTTCTTTTCATGTGGTGTGTCTACCATCCTGCAAACTTGGATGGGCAGCAGGTGAGAGGAACCTCCCTGGAGAGAGGGGGCAGAGTCCTGAAGGGTGGGAGAGGTTTGGGGGAGCCTTGTTGGCTGCCACATATTTCCAGACCTGCTGGGGCTGCTGTTCCTACAGGCTGCCTCTTGTCCAGGCTCCATCCTTAGAGTTCCTTATCTCTGCTCTGGTGCTGACCAGCCAGAAGCTACCTCTGGCCATCCAGACACCTGGAAACTGTGAGCACAGAACAAGGGCAAGGGGTAAGGGTGGGGCTGGGTTATCATCTGAGCATGCAGGTGTAGGTGGGTGCAGGATTGAGATTGGGCAGTGGTAAGACTGTGAGGCACTGTAGGGGGCTTGGACCTGTGCCAGGAGTGTTACTGTAGAGCAATGGGTCTCCATCCCATTCATCTTTCTTTTCTCCATGCCCCAAACTTTTCCTAGCCTCCCTCATGATGCACCTGTGTAGGGGACCTAGCTGCCATGGCCTGCGGCACTGGAACACTTCTCTCCAGGAGGTGGGTGTCTAGAGGTGAGAAGGGATAAGGGTGGTGCCAGGCTTCAGGGAGCTCTTATTTCCATTATGCAGAGACTGAGATGCTCCTGGAAAGGAGTTGGGGGAGGAACCCATATCTAGAATTAGGAAGACCAGGCTGAGGCCAGTTTGATTGAACAGAATATTTTCTCTCCAACCTCTCCTCTCTTCTACCAGGTGTCCGGGGCAGTGGTGGTATCTGGGCTGCTGCAGGGCACGATGGGGCTGTTGGGGAGTCCTGGCCGCGTGTTCCCCCACTGTGGGCCCCTGGTGCTGGCTCCCAGCCTGGTTGTGGCAGGGCTTTCTGCCCACAGGGAGGTAGCCCAGTTCTGCTCCGCTCACTGGGGGTTGGCCTTGCTGTACGTGAGTCCTGAGAGGCATGGGATGGTGCCCAGTGGGGGTGTATGGGAGGACTAGGGGAGGGCAGAGCTGCTGGTCCTACCAGATTCAGCAGCGACTGGAATAGGGACATATTTTATATTTGGAATCCAAGACTTTCCCTTGATTCATCTGGTCTCCTTGACTTTCACACTGTTTTCTGCTGTCCCCTAAGGTGACTTCCTATTCCTTCCATGGGAGTTTCCTTCTCTGGGACCACCCCCCGCTTTTATGGTATTCTGCCTACCCCCACCTCATTTCCCATGCCTCAGGATACCCAATGCCTCTTGCTCCTAAAACCTTCTCTCTCTTAGGGTTATCCTGCTCATGGTGGTCTGTTCTCAGCACCTGGGCTCCAGCCAGTTTCATGTGTGCCCCTGGAGGCGAGCTTCAGCTTCATCAACTCACACTCCTCTCCCTGCCTTCCGGCTCCTCTCGGTATGTGTGGGTCTGGGCAGGGCAGTAGAGGTCAGAAGGGCTGGCCTGGAGTGCTCACTCCATCCCCTACCTTTTGGCTTCTGTCTAACCCTCCAAGGGTGGCTCAGAAGGTTCTGGGGGAGGAGTTCTTTCCTCAGTCTTGCTGCTCAGGTGCTGATCCCCGTGGCCTGTGTGTGGATCGTTTCTGCCTTTTTGGGGTTCAGTGTTATCCCCCAGGAACTGTCTGCCCCCACCAAGGCACCGTGGATTTGGCTGCCTCACCCAGGTAGGTTTTCTCCTAGTCCTCCATTCTCTTGTTCAAATAAAGGTATCTATTTATTTGAATTCAAATAACTTAATGGATTTTATTTCTGAGTTAAATGCTGTGTTTTTTCAAAACATACAGGAGAGAGAAATTACCAGTCTGAGAGACAGACAATGCTAGCCCCTCACTGCAGGTGTTTTGTTGTTGTTGTTATTGTTTGTTTGAGACAGGGTCTCACTCTGTCACACAGGCTGGAGTGCATGGCGTGATCATGGCTCACTGCAGCCTCAACCTCCCAGGCTCAGGTGATCCTCCCACATAAGCCTCCAGAGTAGCTGGGACTACAGGTGTGTGTCACCATGCCGACTTTTGTTTGTTTTTTGTAGAGACAGGGTTTCAACATGTTACCCAGGCTGGTCTCAGACTCCTGGGCTCAAGTGATCTGCTTGATTAAGTGCTGGGATTACAGGCATGAGCCACTGTGCCCCATCCCACTGCAGGTGTTTTTTTTTGGGTCAGTGTTAGGAGACAGACATCTATTGTTTCTGTAACCCCCGATATTCACTACCAATACTCCTTACCCAATGAACACATTTATGTTACCAGCCCCTATGGGCATTTGACTTGGCAACCTATGCATAAAGATTGCTTTTGAGGCATTGTATGTGAAATTTGCTCATTCTTCTATTTATTTATTTATTTATTTATTTATTTATTTATTTATTTAGACAGGGTCTTGCTGTGTCACCCAGGCTGAGAGCATTGATGCAAACATGGCTCACTGCAGCCTCAACCTCCTTGGCTCAGGTTATCCTTGTGCCTCAGCCCCACAGGTAGCTGGGATTACAGATGTGCGCCACTATACCCGGGTAGTTTTTGTGTTGTTTTGTAGAGATGGGATTTCACCATGTTGTCCAGGCTGGTTTTTCTTTAATTTAATAAGGATCTGTTGAGTGCTGATTATGTGCTAGGCACATGGTAGGGGACATAGTGATGACCATGACAGACACAGCACTTACCTTCAGGGAGCTTATAGTCTATTGGGGAACATAGATACTAAAGAGTCACCCAAAGAAACATAAAATTGCCACTGTGGGAACTGTAACCAAAGGGAGATACATTGTGTCCTAAGAGCTTATAATGAAGGCCAGGCACAGTGGCTCACACCTATAATCCCAGCATTTTGGGAGGCAGAAGCAGGAAGACTGCTTGAGGCAAGGATTTCGAGAGCAGCCTGGGTAACAAAGCAAGACTCCATCTCTACAAAACATAAAAAAATTATCTGGGCCTAGCGGCACATGCTTGTAGGCCTAGCTACTCAGGAGACTGAGGCAGGAGGATCCCTTGAGCTCAGGAGTTGGAGGCTGCAGTGTGCTATGATCGCACCACTGCATTCTAGCCCAGGCGACAGACTGAGACCTTGTTTATAAAAATAAAATAAAATAAAATGCCAGGCGCCATGGCTCACACCTGAAATTTCAGCACTGTGGGAAGCTGAGGTGGGAGGATTGCTTGAGCTCAGGAGTTAGAGACCAGCCTGGGCAACATAGTGAGACCTTGTCTCTATTAAAAGTAAAAAAAAAAATAGCCTGATACAGTGGCACGCACCTTTAGTCCCAGCTACTTGGGAGGCTGAGGTGGGAGGATCGCTTGAGCCCAGGAGATTGAGGCTGCAGTGAGCTATGATTGCACCACTGCACTTCAGCCTGGGGAACAGAGCAAGGACCTGTCTTAAAACAAACAAATAAACCAAAAAACTTATAATAGGGAATTTGAATTTATCCAGGAGGTCAGTAAAGATATTCTTTTTTTTTTTTTTTTTTTTTTTGAGATAGAGTTTCACTCTTGTCACCCAGGCTGGAGTGCAATGGTGTGATCTTGGCTCACCGCAACCTCCACTTTCCAGGTTCAAGTGATTCTCCTGCTTCTACTTCCCAAGTGGCTGGGA